ACAAGGTCGTTTTAGACCTCAGTTTCAAACTAATTAACTCTGGCGGGAATTATGTAAGGATCTTAAGTTTTACTAACGTTTATTTTTATTTTAATCTTTACTATCACTTCTATTTTCTACTTCCGGCCAGATTATAAGCGTGAAGGAGTTTATGCAAAGTTGTCTGGCGAACGCCAAGTATTTAAGTGGGCCTTTTTGCCAAGCAAAAAGAGGAAGCGTGAGTTCGAAGGCAGGCCGCTTACCTTAGAAGTTACGCAGTTGCTACTTTGCCTTCCAGGCCAGAGGTTTGAATCTCTTGATAAATTAAAACGTATTGTAGTTCACAGTCTCTGTGCTACATACGCTTTCTGTTATTATAAGGCCAATCTTATTCTAAAGTTATTAGAGTTTATTTTATTTTAATATCTTTTTAAGTTAGACCCCGATTGGAGGGTCATTGTATTCCGAAGTACGGAAGTCATTGTATATAAAGAAAAAAATAAAGGGTTTTGGATACCCTTCGTCTGTATCCCTGTCTACTTACTACAATAGTGAACATAGCTTTAGTAAGCTCTCTGTTCTAGTCAGGTCATTGTATGTTTCCGAAGAAGGTTAGAAGAAACATTGAACCTGATAGAGTAACCTCCGTCGCTAGTAAACTCTGAGTTCTAGCACAGCATGTGCACAAGTACTTCCATATTATTGGATACAACTTATTCGATTCCTCAAGCATTTAAAAGTCAAGTATAATATATTGGTAAAGGCAGTTAATGGTCGATTGCCTCTTACTAAGTGATAAGACATAGACATATTAATTCAGTTATTAGTTTGTTTTAGAAAACTTCTCTTGTTGACTGTAGCGAATTCGCAGATTAACTTTCTTTAGCTGTTGTGAATTAAGTTCTCTTGAACGTTTGAGTAGCTAAAAGATAACTACTGTGAGATATTGTAACACTGCACGAATATCTGAGGAAATGTAAACATTTTTTGTGATAATAAATTTTGTTCATTTTTCATCGGACTTGTGCATTCAATTCATAACGAACCCGTACGCACGCAAAAATTTTTGTGTCAAGTGTGGGGTTTTTGAATGCCAATTACAAGAGCGATTGAAGACCAATTCAGGCAACTGATGACAGCATTTGCTGCTTTCGAAGGAAAGATGGAAGGGGTCGTTTAACTCCGTTAAAGAGGAAATGAATGCGGGACAGAAATCCGTTCACGACAAGTTGGAAGGTGGTCAAGTAACTTTTAAAGAAGACATAAAAGCTGTACAAGAAAAAGATTGAAGCAGGTCAAGACGAAATTAAAAGAGAAATTGCCTGCATAATAGAAACCAAATTCGAGGATATGGAAGGCAGAATAGACACAGTTGAAGACAAAGTTGGAAAAATTCAGAAAAGAGTTTCTACAGTGGAGCAATAAATTGAAGAAAGAGTTTCTACCATCCAAGAGCAAATCGAACAACAAATCGAAGAGAGAGTTTCTGCTGCCGTCACCAAAGAAGTTGGCACCTTAATATATAATTTTGCCTGATATTATATGTATTTTGATCTTATGTGTCTTTTGTTACTATGTCTCAAGGTAGAGGCTAACATATTGTTTCCCATGTTAAAAATAAAACAAATTTTTTTATTTCGGTTACCTGTCATAGCAAAAGTTAGCTTCTAAACTAGACTTATACTGTTATATGACTGGACACCCAATATTTATATTTTTATAATTAAATTTGCCTCACCTTCATATCTATTCAGCTTTACTAAAGATACTCATTACACACACATGGAAGACTATTTATTGTAAATGATAACAATTTCCTCCCCTTTTTGACTACACTCAAGGACACAGTCTTTGTTTTTTTTAAAGAAAATTCTCTTACTTCCTTTCCTTTTCTTTCTATAGGCCCTTTTTTTAAAATTATTAATATACTTTTTTTCGCTATTACTTTTGGGCCATTTATTTTTTATTTCATTTTGTCCCATCCTGGCCTTTCGAACTCGTATAAAAGATACGAAGTCTCCGCACCTATGCTTGATTTTTCGCCCATCGGTGCAGAAAGACTTAGCGGGTGCAACAAAAGACATCTGTCTACTTTGTCTGTCCTGCACCGCCCAGCTCAAGCATTCCTCTACCTTCAGCGCTCTTAGTAGCATCCAAATGAAGACAGCCGGAACACAGCACCAGCACGTAATTACTGCGTGCTAATCGCGGCTTAGAGAGGAACTTGGAAGTGTCGCTTTCTAAAATCATATTGTTCAATTGGAAATAAGCCGTTTGAATCAAGATAAAAAAATAAGCAACTCCAAAATAAGTTTTCCCACAAGCTTGCAAGTACAATTCGTAAGGGTGATGGGCCTGCAACTATACACACAGATCGTATTTTATTCTCGAGTGTCAAGGACACAGCAACTGTTGCAACAGTTTGCAGCAACTGTTCTTATTCTTATAAAAATAAAACGCGACAATATTTATAAAAGAATTCATCTCTCGACGCACACACACACAGATCGTATTTTATTCTCGAGTGTCAAGATGTAGAAACATATTTTTACTCGACTTCTGATAAGGATCGGATGGGGGGAGAAAGAGTAGGGTGAAAGGAGTGTGGGAGGCGGATGAAAGAGAGTGAGGTCCGTACTAGCGGCGGCGAAAAAGGGGGGGTTGCAAGTTCAGTGTCGTTATAAGATGTAGCCGCGGGTGGTAAAACCGCAGAGTCAGTTTAGCGTGAATGAGTCAATTAAGGTTGTGATTCTTATGTGTTCTGCAACTATAGGAGAGCTGGCCTTGTTAGGTTTCTTAATAGGAAAAATTAGAGCTCGTTTCCATTGGCGGGGAACCCTTTCTAGTTTCCAAGATAAGTTAATGAGTTCCAACAGTCCCTGCCTACCCCTGTCATTAAGTTTAGAAATTATCCTGCTGTGGATATTATCAGGTCCAGGAGTCCTCGCTCTGAGCTGCGGCATCCATGAACTATTTTCTTGCTCAAGTTTCTGCGTCTTTATCCAACTCAGTAAAGTTTAGTTTGCTTATTCTTTGATAGTAAGCATCCAATAAATTCGCTGAAACCTTATCGTCTGAGGATGTGCATTATCATCTAAGATGGTATTACAATCATCCTATTGAGGCTGTGCTGTGTTCAGATTTTATAGGTTTTCAGAGTTTGGTATTTGGGATATGAGCATCAATAGAGTTGCATATTTCATTCCATCTATCTGTCTTAAATCGAACAAAATTTCTTTTTATCTTAGCATTTACTTCGTTTAGTCTGGTTCTAAGAGAGGGATCACTTGACCTTTTCCCTTTCTGAAGTAGTTGGTCTCTTTCCCTTAACAAGGGTTGAAGTAATGGAGATCTATGCAAGAAGAAGAGAGTTAACACCTTATGATTAATAGAATAGTTTGGAATAGCTTGGACAGCAGCTTTAAAAACAATATCCATGAAAGGTAGCCAATTTGCATCTAGATCCTCAATGGACCTGTTTTTCTGTGGGAGGTTTTGAGAGACTGCCTTGATCCGCAAGGTCTCTATACTTCTCCCAGTTGGCTTTTTTAAAAGTCTAGTAGTTATTCTTATTTAGCATAGTTTTCTATTTCCACTTTACCTATACCAATATTGGTAAATGATTTCTGCCAATATCTTGTAATACTGTTAGCTTGCAGTAAAGGTAAATTTCCGGACTAGCAAAAGAGACGTCTAACGCTTCCGCAGTATTATAGCTATAGGAGGAATGAGCAGGTGAACCATCATTGAGAATAAAGTGAGCACTGACACGCAAAAACAATTAATTTATTAATAGCTTTTTTTTTTAGATCTAGGAAACAAGCTGAAGTGCTGGATTTATTGGTGAACGCTTCTGCAATTGTTTCCTCCATAAAGTTATTTTGTAATAATGTATCCTTGACGGAAGCCGTATTGGTTATTCTTAATGCTATTATTTTTGGTGAGATGTTTGTTCTCTCTTGAATAATTCCTTCCAAAAAACCTTCCAGGACACTGTTGAAGACTTATGGGTCTATAACTGGATGGTTGTTTTGCATCTTTTCCCGGTTTTAGGAACGTAACAATAACTGAGTGTTTCAACTCTTGCGGAAAATATTTTAATTTTAAGTACGCACTTACAATGTTAGGAATGCGACGCATCTTCTCGGGCTTCTTTGACGGCTTCTATGTATTTCGTTATATCCATGGCACTTTTAACATTTAAATTTTTATGCTATTATTAACTTCACTAGGTGAAACATATGTAATTTTATCCAGTCGGAATATTGAATATATATCGTTAATAGAATATTCGAAATATTTTCATTTTTAGGCACCGTTTTGTAGATAGTCGTTGACTTCCTTGATGATCAAATCACTAGAATCTGATGTCACTGAAAATTTAATTGGCTAGTTGCATATGAGTACATTGCGGGACCTAAGTTCTCGTGAAAAATAGAAATTCATATTCAAAATTTACGTGAATCTAGTTTTCTTTTTCTTCCTTCCTTCCTTTTTTTTTTTTTTTTTTTTTTTTTTTTTTTTTTTTTTTTTTTTTTTTTTTTTTTTCTGGAAAGGGTAGTCTAATTTTAAATGACGAATTTGATTTCTTTTCTTGAGATACAAAATTAAATTATCTTTCCTGTTCAAGAACTCCAAACTTTCTATTCTAGCACGGAGTATAAAGAGCACTTCGTGCTTTCAAAGGAGAATCTTTTACTCTTTAGTTTTGAAAAACTTTCTCCACGGACTCCGTGACTTTCTCCTTCCCAGTACTTATTTTTTAATCGGGTCAAAAGACCAAAGCTTTGCAAAAGACTAACCAAGGAGGTTTAACTTGCACGAAATGAAATACGAATTGCTTGAACGTTTTAAATACGAAATTGAATTAAATTGAGTGGTGTTAATTCTCAAGATTAGTGGTTATTGTTTCATTTTATCTATATGAATACTTAATTCAATTAATAATCTGAATTTTTGATTAATTTCTTAATTCATTCGTTTTTTATGGCTTCATTGAATATTGAGAGAGTTTTTGTTGCGCATAAAGACCGAGAGAAAGTACTAAATATTTCATACTATAGTTTATTTAACTTTTAGAAATGTATGACGAATGCGCTCGGTATTGATATAATTCATGTTATGTGTTATTTGGTTTGCGATAATTTTTTTTTCTGTTATTGAGTAATGTTTTTCAGTTTAATTAATTGTAGTGCTTATTTATTTTATTTTAGTTCAGTTATATTATGATGTAAAAGAAGCTATATTTTTTTCAGAATTTTTTTACGTAAGTCGTCTGAAAATTCTTCCGATATTGAAGCTATATCTTATTTGGTGAAAAGTATGCTTATTAGTTAAAGTTTTGGGGAAAAGTGCAGAATCGCCCACTGCTTGGCGCGTTTTTAAGAATTGCACATACTCGGTATCCATGTACACATCGACCTATTTTCACTTAAAAAAAAAATCCCAGAATTGTACAAAAATGGCATTGTGCAATCCCATGATCCATGTACACATCGACCTATTTTCACTTAAAAAGTCAAGGAAAATTGACAAAAATCCAATTTTTCTTACTCTTGTAAAAAGCGCCAAAACAAATTAGTGGGCGATTCTGCACTTTAGCCAAGTTTTGTTGCATCCCTCTTTTATTGAAGTGTAACTTAGAAGTAGTGAAATCTTTATATTAGAAAAACATTTCAGATGAGTCAGGTTCTTCTTCAGAAAGCAAGAATATTCTGTCTAACATTTTGTTTTATATTTTTCTTTTATATTTGTTTTATATTTTTTAAGAAAGACCCATATCATATTCCCTCAGAATCCACATAGCTTCTTTCTAAAATAAACAACAATCTATGGTTATTTTTTTTCAGTCATTAAATCAAAGTTGGTATGCTTTGCTTACATCTGTTATTTCGTAATTAGTTTTATTCATCAAACTGCTTTGTCTATGATTGTGAAAATAGAAACACAATAATGCACATATAGAATCATAATGTTAGAATTATTTTAGTTGCTTAGTACAGAGGTTCTCAAACTTTTAAAATTTTATGCCATGTGATTAAGAATAAATAATATATGTATCATCACATACTAATATAGATAGCAAAAGGATTCCATTTTATATTAATTTTGAACATTCATTTAATTTTTTTGTGTAAAAATTGCACAGCCAAAAGTAATGTAATGTATCATTAGTAATACATGTACCATAGATGGAGAAACATTGGCTTAGTGTAAAATAGCTTTATGTGTAAAAAATGAGGTAAAATCCTAGTATACGGCGCAGCCTTGGCACGACTTTGAAAATTATCGCCAACACCAAAAATGATCCAAAGGTCGGCTATATATATACTATACACACATAGTATATATACTATATACATAGTATATACTATGTTTAACTATATATTTTCTTTTAATGACCCGTTAACTACTCATCGTATATGTCCCGTTTTTACTGCTCATCATAAAGTAGCCAAATCCCGTGTACACCGGATACTAGGATTAAACCAAAAAGGATGCAGCATTTTGGGAATTAAGTATGTCGACGAGAAAGGTTACTAATGCATCTATCGTTATGTATTTTTTTTTTCAAATTTAGAAGTTAAGTGATAATTTTTTAATGTATACTATATATTAAATATTAATTTGCATATAAAAAGTGGGTAGATTTTCTGAAAAATATTCCAAAGGGCAAAATGTCTTGCATTTGGACTAGTTTCATACATTTAAAGCAAATGAACAATTTCTTCATGTATAGTAAAACTAAAAGTATATTTTTTTTAAATTTAATATATCACTTATCATGCCTTATTTTTATTATAATTTTTTAGAGTTTTTATATATATATATATATATATATATAGATATATAAAAGAAGGAACTAGCTTAAGGTAAAAGGTATCTGAATTAGGATATAAATACATGGAATGATTTAGCTTTCTTTCCATTTATACAATTTTAAAATAAATTGAAAAGCTTGATAAATAAAATCAAAAACTCAAACTTGATTTAAAAATGAGTCATTATTAATCTGAAATGGGAACTGAAACTTTCCTTAGAATTTGCTTTAATGGTGTAGCATTTTTACCGGGATAAAAAACATAGTTGTTATTTGAAAGATCAGCTTTAGCTTTTTAATAGCATATTGCTTGTTTATGAAGATAACCATAGTAGATCATTTCTTCAAACTCCCTAGTTTCTGAAATGTCTGTGTTAATTAATTTAATGAATAGTGTGACTTTTCAGAAAAGCTCGTGAAGGGTTTTATTAAAACAGCATTTGTTAGCCATGTGTAATCAATTATTCACCTTAATTACTCTGTAATTTCATAGCTTTTTATTTATTAGGATATTTAGATGAGTAAAAAAACAATGTTTTAAATAACAGAATAATACAGTACAAATTCCGAGATCCAGATGTCCAATGTCTTGAATGATCTAAAATCCGGACCTCAAAGCCACCACCAACTTTTTTTTTTTTAATAATTTACTCATGCATATTTAATTCCCTTCCCCATGCACAATAAAACATGTGGAGAGTTCCGATTTGTAATTTCACTTCAGAACTAAATAAAATACCTCATTATTGAAGAAATAATGATTTTAGCATAAATTTGTATGATCGAGAATTTGGCTTCAATCTATATCTGTTTGGTATACATCTCAAACCGAAACATTCTACATAGATATATCATTGATTTTACACCTACTAATATTTTATATCCCTGATGCCAACCTGGTGAATTATTATTTATTATGTTTTGCTTTTATCACTGCATGTTTATGAACACATGGCAACCTGAGTAATGACTCATGTAGTGATGCCAGACATTTGCCTTGGCGATGATTACGGATTTAAGTTAAATGTGCTAAGAAATGTTGGCGAGGGAAGAGTTAACAAAAATTTCTTCCCATATGCTAAAAATAGATTTTCATAATGATACTCATAGGCTAAAAGATTACACTTAGTGCTATTTGAATTAAGAATAACTGATTTGTTATTCACATAAACCCAGAATCAGCACCAGGGCTCATATGGCCGCACCGGGTGGCAGAATTTAGGGAAGACAAAGGAAGGTGCTTGATAGCAGAATTTAGGACCCACAGAAAATTTAGATGATATCTAGCACCAGCCCACAATAAGCCTTAAGTATATGTGGGTATTCAGGACTGAGATAAGCCTTAAGTATGTATAAGAAACAGATACAGTCAAAAGTCGTTAATTCGGACACCCATAATTCGGAATGATCTATAATCCGGACCTCAAAACTAAAAACTTTCTGCGCATGCGCCGCGTTGACACATGCGCATAGGCGTTTACGCATCCACGTAAGACCTTTTACGACTGCGCATATGAGTGTGCGCAAGTGCAGAATACGTTTTCGTGTGCGCATTTTATGTATAATAGACGTATAAGCTAAAATTATCTAATTATCTATTTCAGTTAATGTTGATGATAGCGTTGTTCCTTAATTTTGGAATTGGATCCGGCTTATTATTTTTTGAAGACTGTAAGAGCAATTTTATAAAAGTAAGCTTAAACTTTCAATTATATCAAATAGAATTTCCGATATATATTTGTTAATATGTAAAGGATCTAAAGCGAAAGTATGTTTTGAAATCCGAAATCTGTTTATCAATTTCATGCTGCTCGGCGGGAGAACGCCGCGGCGGGCGCGTAATGAATTGGAAGTTGATTTGTCAGCACTATCCTTATCTTCAGCGCAGATGTTTTTATTTTATTTTGGCTTATAATTCCTTACCAAATGTAGTATTTCATCTCGATATGCTCAGTCTTTGATATGATTTAAAACAAGTTCCTCGTCATTATAATTCGCTTCCGATAGTGAAGAAAAGTAACGGAGGTTATTGAAAACGAAAACATTTCGATTGCCAAATTAGTCGGTGTTCTTGACAGAGCAATTATAGGACTTGAACAGCGGAACTTTGTAACTGAAGAAGAAATTATGTCTGTTTAATAGAATTAAAGAGAAAGTATTATCACATGAAACGAAGCAAAACTTAAACAACTTACATTGAAAGAAATGTTTAATAAAGTAAACAAATAAATATTAAGCTTTTTCTTTTTGCAAATTTTGATACCCTTTAGATCATAATTGTTCTTTATTTCATAAATTATGGTTTCATATTTTTAATTTTAGAATTTCTGCATGCCATCTTATGAGATTTAAACTGATGATCTATAATCCGGAAAAATCGATAATCCGGAATCGCCGAAGTCCCGACGAGTCCGGATTAACGACTTTTGACTGTATAAGTATCGTAAATAACTACAGTTATCCGAATCAATTGGGATGGGACCCTATTCAGATAATCAAAAATTTGGATAAATGGATTTTTTCTGAAGAAAGGGTCTGTGTACACTTTAATTAATTACTATATGTACTTTATGTTGAAAATAAGAGCGGAAAAACTATTTTAAAGAAAAAGAGGCTTTAATTAATTAAAATGAAAAGGGAACACTTTTATGTACGTGTTATATAGCATACTGTACAGTATTTACAAGTGCCGAGTCATTGCTTGCGGAACATCTCGGTCAAAGTAAGCTGTTTGACGGACACTGTGCCTGCACTTAAATGTCTTAGCCAGCCATTACTTGCTTTTAAGGATGAACATCCAAGCTCTTGAGTTAAGATCTTAGCTTTTTCATAAAAAATCGGACCCGAAATTGGGTTTCCTATAGAACAAAAACCACTTGAAAACAACATCTCCTAAATTTTTGTATATTGCTGCATTGATTTTCTTGAAGAACTTCCATTCTTGTTTTCAAACAGTGACACGAAGTTTAAAAGTGTAAGTGCTTTTTTTCAATGTCTGAAATCACTGATTGCCCAACACTACGTTTCCAAATTAATTTTTTTTCTTAAACTCTGAAAGCATTTCGGATAATCAGCGATTCGGATAGTCTGAGTTTGGATAATTGGAGTTGTGCTGTAAACTAATACAATTCAGGCTTAATTGTCTCAGAGCGTGATAGAAGAAAGATAAAAGTGGAACAACTTTTCTTTAGTCGCCAATCTCATCATACATAGCCAAATA